CCGCTCACTAAAATTATACAGTTACTTCCTTTTAATATTATTAAGAGTCTTAATAATCGTGTTCAGTATTTTTTAAATTCTATAACTATGTTATTAACATATTGTAGATCTTTATGGAATAACAAAATAAAATCAGTTGAAGACGATTCGTTTTCCCATCTCATTGCCTTGACGGAACTGTAAGTTTTCTATTCTATTCGTTACTTTTCTTGGGGACGGTTTATAAGGCACTTTAATTTGGAAGCGACTATATAAGATAGGAATAAACCAATCGTAGGAGCTACGTTGCACTAAGTTTGCTACCCATTTTCACTTCAATCTTTGACTATTTTATGCATTACATTGTTTTTCTTTAGTACTACCACTGGAACTCCCTATTTGAACTTTTTTTACATTAATTTTAAATAAGGTGTAGTAATATACCTTACATTTTATCTTAACTTTGAACTTCTCATCTTTTTATATACTTTTAGAGATCTTGTTACTGTACGTTTTATCATATTACATAGCTTCTTTCTTGCATATACTTATCATGTTGTGTTGCTTTTGAAGGCATCTTTTCACATCTTGTTATACTTTTTCCAATCGTTTTCTAAACGTTTAGATTTATTGTTTTTCCAAAAACTTTCTGTTTGTAACATCTAAATAAACCGCGTAAGCCGAGGCTTCGCACAGTTTATCAGTCTAGTCAGGTTATTAAAGACCAATATAAATGCATTTTAGAAATAATTTTAGTAAAACTGCTTATATAATAAGACCTATCGGGGCGACGGTGTTGTTCCAGGTGTTCCTCCTGTTAAGTATTTATTAATATTTATCTTTTACATAACCATTAGAGATCTTACAGAAAATCCTTTAACTGAGATTGGGGCTAAAGCTTTTGTGGCTTCCTGGTACCCTCATGGCATGTAATTTTCTATTCCTTAGTATTGCAGTCTTACAAATTTTATTTTAATTACCTTTTAAAATTTACTAGTAAATTAATACTTGACCAAAATTTTCTTTGCTGCTCGCGGGTGCTCTACAATGAATTAAGCTATGTTAATGGAAACTGCACTTTTAAAGGGAGCCTAGAAATCTTTCATGCTTTTAATAAAGCTAAGTGCCAAACATTAAGTTAGCCAGGATCTACTCACACCACGAGCAATAATACTGAAATTACCTCCTGATCTCCCTATAGTGGGGTAGGGATAGTAAATAAACTCTTTTAGTACGTATTACGCTGCCGGTATTTTCTGTATAAACCATAAAAGGCGATGTAATAATAATTTTTAATATAGTTGATTTTTTAATATTTTTCTGTACCTTACTCCGGGACTCTTAGAATAAGTCAACTATATGTTTTTACTTTATCATCTTTTAGTACAACGGTGTTTTTAGTAGAGCATTGCATTGCATTAAACGTTTCAATATATCGGGGTAAAAGGTTAGGTTTAATAAAAAATAATATATGGATATATGAACTTTTGACTATAATATTGCCAAAGAGCACGTAATAGCAACCCTCTCGAGTGAGCACTCTTCAACAATGCTACCCCCTGTTATACTCGAGAAGAGAGTCAGAGGCAGTGTAAATTGGGGACAAATATTAAATAATTTTGATTTACGTGCAACGATTGCAAGTATTAAAGTTTTTTAAAACAAATAGGAAATGTGCCTTCTGTTGCAGATATTCAAATACTGTACTTTCCGAATCTTGCTTTTTTTATTCAAGTTATTCAGTAGAACGAAAATAACAAAGCTAAAAGAAAAAAAGTTTTTTTTTGTATTATGAGAAAAAAAATTACTAGAGCTCGCGCTATCAAAACTTTTAAAAAGAAAAGATAGAATAAAGTAGGTTAAATAATTGCTACTTCACAGAAAACCAAATTTATTAGTACACTTGAATTTCTTATTAAGTTAACTTATCGGTAGCGTGTAAACTAAAAAAAAGTAATTAACTTTAACGAATATACAAAAAATTGTCTATTATATTAAGAAAAAACCGAAGGGAACAAGCTGGAAGTGGTTAAATTAATAAATAAAAAAATTACTATACCCAAAACAGCACATGAGCCCATAAAACGGTTTGTAATAAATTAATTTACCCATAACTAGCATAAGTAAGAAAAAAAATTTATTGGAAATTAAAAGAATTAACTGAAACATAAAAATTAATGACTCTCTTTGCTAATTTAATATATCTAAAAAACTTGAGCTATCAAAACTTTTTGGTAGAAAACAAGCTATAACACTGTTAACGAAGATTATGTTATTAATTTTTACAAACCAGCTTATTAGCATACAAAACAAATCATTTAGTAATTAAACTATTATCAAGAGGAGAGAAAAAACAGCCTCAAAAGTTTTAAAAAATAAACTTTTCGTTGTTCATTGTTATTTAAATTAGATAATGTGAGTGACAATCAAGTATATTAACTATTACTATTTATTAAATTAACTTAGCAGCAAACATTACAAATTTATAATAAGCTAAGTAGTAGTAATCTATTATCATGCCGTTTGAAATGAAACGCCTTAAAAGTTTTTAAAGCAAACTTTTGGTTTCCCAATGTAATTTAGAATAATGTAAGGGACAGTTAAGTATATAAGCAAACTATTACTTTACAAATCTAACTTTAAGCACATGACTTTATAGAGTTATGTATAGGCAGTGAGGAAAAACGCATCAAAAGTTTAAAAAAAAAACTTTCTTGTTGTTCAATGCTATTAAACTATACAAAAGTAAGTGACAATTATAAAAGTTTGACAAATTAGTACGTTACAAATTATTTATTAGCACACAATGATTTATACTAATAATTTGGTCTAATAAAATAAATAGTGCAAAAGTATGAAGTCCCCTCACACGTTTTCATTAATTATTATAACTATTTATATATTTTAATAAAACTGATACTAAGAGGCTTTATTTGGAGTATTCTAATTAATGTTACACTGTTATATTAATAAATATAGTGTAAAAAATTTAACTCAAACTTGAGTTTGTAATTACCTTTTACTTCACAAATCTTATCTCTATTTTTATTATATAAATAATACTAAAAAACTGTTTTTTTTCAAGTATTTTCCTTAATAATTATTATAATATTATATATTTAAGTAGTATAAAAGAAAAAAATGAGATTAGTGTACAAATTTATTCTTTTATAAATTCTTTATGAGAATTTATTTTATATGAATTTAAATTTAAATATTAAAAAAGGTCTTTTTTTTAAAGTAATTTTTTTAATAGCTATACATTACTAAATATTTATAAAAGAAATAAATTAAATTCATAAGTTTACGTTTACCGATCTATATAATTAATAAATTTTAATTATGTAATAATACCAAAAATCTTTTTTTTTGGTTTTTTATTGAAAAATCATATATCAATATAATATTGATAAATAGTACACAAGAAAAAAACTAGATTCACCTTGTGTACTTTTTGATTTGTTATATAAAATGTTATTGAATATTGAACTTATAAAATTTTATTAATTAATAAATTGTTATATAAGAACTAAACTAAATTCATCTCATTTATTTCTACTCATTATTTTTACTCATTCTAATTATTCAATACATAAGTTATTACTATAAATTAATGCTAATTTAATAAATATTTTAATCAATAGTTATTATAATATTAATAAATAGTATGAAAGAAGAGTGTCAGATGCAGATTTTCTGCTTAATTTTTAATCTTAGTATACTTTAATTAAATTTTTTTACAAAATAATACTAAAAGTTTTTTCTTTTAAAACTTTTTATTAATTGCTAGTAAAAGAGTGTAACATAAAAAAAATTAAAGTTTCGCCAAATTAAATTATTATTATATGCACTTTTTCCCTAAACAATATATATTTCTAATTATAAAACTTTTATATTGAGAATAAATATTGTTTATATAAATAATAGTAAAGCATTTGTAATTTTTATTTAGATTTTTTGGTGGAATAAAATATTGTTGAATAATTTACAACGATGCTACCGTCTTGAATATTCTTTCTATGGTTTGCGAAATTTAGCACCTTTTTACCAATCCATAACAAATCCTTATAGAAATCTCATTGATTATAACGATGCGTAGCGTAAATGTTTTTTATTAAACTCAATGCGTTTCATGTTTACAAAAGAGTTTAACAGAATAAAAGTAACCTCATAGAATTCAGGTAAAAATAGTCAAAACAAGTTCTCAGTTTACCTTTTATAAGTTAACTCATTTGCTGTATAATGAAGTTAAAATTTCTTAAATTAGCGGTAAATTTTATTAGTACTGTTTGCCTTTAAAAATATTGTTATTCTCCTGAATAGCTAGCCATTCTTTTGTACTGCGTTGTATGGCTTTTATTACGATGAACCCAAACAAATGTTTTTTTGGAGCAGATACAACGAAAAGACTGATACTTTTCTCCAAATATGATGCATTGAGACCCTGATCAAATTAGTTGTCTTTCTGTATAGAATTTACCTGAGTTAAATTTTCCATCTTCAGGGCGCCTTTAAGTTAAAAATCTATTTATATAAATAATAAAACTTAGAACAGTAAGCAAACTTCATTTGTAAAGGTTATTATAAATAATGCATTTCTCACTGAAGGTGTATAGTTTATAAAAATTTTATGAATATTAGTAGAAGGCTACAATTTTACTGTATATCTCTATTCTATAGCACAAGTGCGTGGTTAAAACACCAATGAATTTTTTCTAAGATTCAAAATATGAAATTTATGTACTCCCCCAAAAATAAAATAGCACTGTCGAACGTGATAATTATCAGCATTGTTTTTCTTGTATAAAGAAAAAAATTCATAATTACTTAAGCCTTTTTTTCTTTGAGATTATATTTACTAAGAAAATTTTATAAATTTTAAGTATAGAATAAACTTTACTATTTAATTTAACGAAGACTTCTTACCGGACACTTTAAACGCTTTATCACAAAAAAATATTTCCACTTAAAATAAAGCAGAAAAGGAGCACTATTTCGTGACCTATATGAGAGTAAAGCGAGAGGACTGCGCTTATTTTTTTTTTATTGCAGAGAGAGCCAAAAGCCTTGCTTTTACCTGTTCTGCTTTTGCTGTACGTTCTGGGAAGGCCCAAAGCTCTCAAAGATGTTCTCCCCATAAGAAAGCACTTAGCAGTTATACCGTATATGTAAATGTGTGCGCCATGCACTAAGTACTGAATTATCTTAAAGAAAAATAGTTGAGCATAAAGTTAAACTTTTGCAACTGCTTCGGCGAGCAATTAATACCATCAAAATTCTAATTGAAGTTACTAGGTAAATATTTATTTTTTTTTTAAGTTAGCTAACATACTTAAGAATAATAGTTTTGTATTAGGCCAAAACGTTTCTAACTAGGATATATATACATGCTTCTATACTTAATTATTATTAATAATATAATTTATTAAACATTTATTATAAAAGGAATATACCCAATTGCAATCTAAAGCTCTCTGACTATGAACAAGTAGCAACCCTATTAATTTAAAAAATTGTAAGAGTTACCCTACTACGATCATTATGAAATGGTGTTATTTTAAAATAAAGCGAGCTCTCATTCAACGACTTGGATAGAATTATGCTTTCCACATTGGAGGGTTTTCACTACTTGACTTTTATATACGTTTATAATAAACATATAGATGGTTTTAAAATATTTACTATGCAAGGTTAGTATGGTAAAACTGTTTTTATGCAATAATTTTAGCTAAATTCAGGTAGATAAAAATTTAAATTATTGAGGCTATCAAAGACATAACAAATAAGTATGTTTTCTATAACAGTTTACATCGATCTATTATTTAAGACATAATTTCTTATTGGCTTTAGTCCCTTCAGTTTTTTTCTTAAATGAAAGACAAATGATCCTGAAATTGATGTCAAGTTATTAAATTATATTTTAAATTAGTAATATACTCTAAATATGCTCGTAGAGTTTTTGTAAATGCTGAACTATCCTATCGGCTTTTACGGCTTATAATTTTATAACACCACGAAGAATATAGCGAAACGGGAATTAAAAGTAATAATTGTTATTTATTGTTTTAACTTCTTATAATAGAAACTAAATAAACTTCGATCAAAATTATCTTTCATCAGTGCGAAAATTTAATATTTTTTTCAAAGTAAAAAGTTCATATATTATATTACTCCGATTTCTTATACTCATGAAAGTAAAGCATATGCCTTCATGATTACTATTATAAATTTTATTTTAAAACTTTTATATTAATAATTGCATTAAGACTTTTACAAGAAAATCAAATTAACTATATTAGCACCCAAATGTTTTCGAGTCTCTCTAGCTTGTTAGCATTGTAAGTTTTTCTTTTTTACATTAAATGGTTAATATTTATTTTTAGAAATATTCTTTTTTGTTGTATATATTACTTTTAACCTTAATGTTAAAAAATAAAACCTTGGATCGTAGAAGATTCGTTTTATTCCTTAATATGTCTAAATTTTCAAATATTCGTATTCATTTAAAAAATAAAAGGCTAATTCAATATTCTTTTTTAAAGTTAAAATTATATTAAGCTTGAAGTTATTACGGATGATAAGCGTACTGTGCCGAGGACATCTAAATTATTAAATTAATAAGAATTCTGATAGTAATAATCATGAGGCCGTTTAGTATATCATAAAATATTTTTAATAATTTTTCTACTTGAAAGTTGGCTCTAAATAGAGATGCATACATATAGAGAATCTTTTATATTGAAAAGGTTCTGTAATATATTAAGCACATGAGGTGGTTTCCAGCATAATTTATTCAGTTACACTGCTATTAGGATTAAAATATGCCGATGAAAAAAGAGTGAAAACGTAGAGTTATGTATTTAAATAATTTTTCCAACTTTAACACGGCACTTCACAATACTTTTTAGCGTAATGGTTACTTATTATTTACTCGCTTCATCCTGCACTTTTACTTCCACTTGGCAAATAGGCTTTAAGATTTATATATCAATAAAGAAGGGGTCGAGAAGTGTGTTGAAACAAGCATTTATAGTTTCAGACTACTCTTCAAACTTTTGACAATTAATTGTCATTTAAAACCACAGTTTTAGAAATATTATACTTAAAAAGGGATAGGACGTTTTGAAAAACATTCGTTTCATGAAAAACAATTTTTATCAAATACATTATTTGAACAAAGTGCTACAGTAGACAAAAGGCTTTGTTAACTAAACACAATTTTTTTTTTTGAAACCACTATACTTCTTTAAGGGAATATTAAATGAGTAATATTTCATATTGCATTTTAAACACATTGAAAATTGTCCACTAGCCGTGGTCGTTCTGTTAGCTCTCTTTGAGCGTTTCTATCCATTTTTGTATTATCGTAAAAGTTATTTCTTTATATTTATAAACCTTTGCCTCTTGGGTGTTAACATATAAGTAAAAAAAGCACATAATTTTGCGAAGATCAAGTAAAATTATTTATCTAAGCTATAGTTAGCGTGGAGCAGCGAGAATTTCTGATATTCTGGACGTGGTGTTATTTCCAGTGGCCGGCGTCTTCCGTTTTATAGCGTCGCCAAGCTAGACAAATAATTGATTACATGCATAGAGCAACTAAGTTCCAAACTGATTAATGATAAAATACACTTTGGCCACGAAATTGGACAGTGGTGCCCTCAATGCTTAACAAGGATTTCAATATTTTTCGGTAAACAAAGCCCTTAGAATTTAGCTTAAACGAGGGATTTAAAATAAGTTTCGAGAATTGTAGACCTAGAGGAAACAAATTTTAATAAGTGGGTGTATTAAAGAAAAAGAAGTAAGTTAGAGGGGAGATACATAGCTAAGGTAGTTCTCAGACGAGGAAAGTTTGGAGATTGGAACCTCTGCGGTACAAGCTACCTATCGAAAATGAGTTTAAAGTGGATATCCGAGCAATTTTCGCAGAAATGGATACAGAAACTGTAAAGGCGGTTCTTATGTTTTAACGGTTCAACCCGTCTGAAGTAATTAAAATGCGCTCCTTGAAACGGAAGACAACCCCTACCTCTACTCGTCAAGGCGTATTAAATGCGAAGCAAGAGCTAAAATTTGAAAAGTATTGAGTATATCGCCGTGTCGGTTGAACCCCTAAAAAGAAGCGGAAGGACTGGCCAGTGCTATATATGTCAATTATTTGAACATACAAATTAATACTGTAAGTCAAGCTACAAATGCGTTAAGTGCAGTGACCCTCAAGGGTTGACGTCCTGCACTAAAAGCGAAAATTAAAAAGGTTACCTGCCCTAATTGCCCAGAAATGCATGTTTCAAATTGTAGAGGGTGCAGAACTACCAGAAATATGCACCTTTGAGAAAATTTCATAACAATTTTTCAACTAAAGCTTCCAAAAATCCTTAAAGTTTTTATTAAAGGCAATATAAGCTATGCACAGCGTCCTAAACAGAACTATAACCTGAATCAACTATTACAGTACCTTAAACGACATGAGGAATAACTTTATAGCAACACTTACCAATGCGATCAGCTATCCCTGGCAAAGGCCATTAAGGAGTTAATTGATATAACTTTTAGATTATCTAATTGGAGGCCAGTTCAGAAACTTATTGCCAAAATGAACCTGGACAAAATTTTTCATCTGGTACACATCTGAAAAAGATAACTGATTTAAGGTACCCAACTATTCTGTTCACAAATGCGACTGGAAAGATACTAGAGGACCAGACATGACTGTCTTAACTGGAAGAAACATTACCCACCAAGCGCCCTATCGTATAGAGGTAACTTTAGTAGTTGTCTGCGTAAATATAGAGCTCTGTTACGTCGGAATAGTCAGTATAACTGCTACTTACAAATCTTTCGGCAAGGTTATGCCTAAAGTTGCGGGGGTTTTAATATCTGAAGGGTTAAACTTTAAAACCCTTTGTGGAATAGAAGGCGGAGGAGCGACAATGAAATAAGGTTTGCCGAACTAGCCGGCAAAAAAATTTAATAGTTACTGGTCCAAAATCAACACAGTAACATAAATTCTTTAAGTACCTGTCATTGTCAATATGCTAGTAGTACTCTCTTCTGATCCTAATCCCATCCTCATAGAGATAGGAGATTAGTTCGGTCTCGACAACTTGGGTTAAAAAGGTAACCAGTTTTACCCACATTTCGGGAATATTTAGACAAAAGCATAGTCACCATGGAGCACTTCATTGGGAGAGCACTTGACTTAGACATGGCTGTTGTGCAAAGGGAAGGGTCTATAAAGAGAAACTATAGTAGGCCTACAAAAACCATCAATATAACCTACTAGACCATATTAGATCCCAGATTTAGAGAAGGCGAAAGCAAGATATCTGAACTCTTGTTTCCAAGCGATAGAAAACTTTACAACAAGATCAATTTTTGAGGTTAAGGAGAAATTGAAAGCTTGTTTCCCTAAGAACTGGTAGAAAATATAGTCTTTTGGGCCAGATAATAATTCTCTAGGGAAACTAACAAGAACTATTAGATCTACTGAGGTTAGAGGCATAAAACCGCTCATTCATGGTGCTGGAGGCCTCAGCTACGACGCCCTCCGAAATAGTAGAGGCATTAGCTAAACCACCGGTGCAAAAACTTAAAATATTATCCAATCCCTTAATACCAGAAAAACCCCGGATACCGATAATGCTTAAAAACTTAATTCCACGAGCTATCTCTGTGATTTTAAGATTAAAAAATTAATCAAATACTTACCACAGCCTACCTCCCCAAACTGTGGAAACTGGCTTAAGTAATTTTTATTCCTAAAACTAGTCCCTCTAACTGTTCTATTAAAGATTATCACCTAATAATCATGTTGTTCTCCCTAGGAAAGGAGGCAGAAGCGGGGTCCTTTGTAAATTATAAGAATTTGTGGATGGTATGTGCGTCCTGCCTAATATTCAATTTTGTTTTCAAATTAAGTACCCCACAATTCATTAGATAATTAGGCTTACGAGAGAAGCTACAAAAGCTTTCTTAAAAAAAAGTAGCACGTGTGTTCTTTTAGATATTGAGAAGACTCTTCGGTAAAAGAGGGCACGACGATCTAGCTCTCTTTTTTTACTTGACTGTGGTGGTACACCTTACACCTAAAGAATAGAACTTAACTGCTAGAGTAAATTCATTGAAGTCCGCTTTTAGACAATTAAAGGATGGCGCTTCCCAAGGTTTCTTAGTACCCCCTTTACTTTTTTCGATCGACATGTGCGACATGTCACAATTGTCGAAAAAATAGAAACTAGGCTCAATACGTAGACGACACAGTCTTATTTATAGTTCAAAATCCTCCTGTCTGGTGTTTAAAAGCATGCAGTTGACAGTAATTGAGACATGGTATCCAACAAGGAGGCTAATAATTAACGAGCCGAAAAGTAGCTTTGTAATTATAACAAAGGGAAGGATACTCCCCTAGATCTCTAGTAAACTGTCAATCCTTGAAGTAAGAAGGTTAGTTATCTCAAAATTGTGCGTGGACGAAGGACTAAGCTGAACTCCACATCTTTCTTAAGTCGT